AACCAGGAACGGTAGGCTATCTATTTGGCCGCTATTTCTCTGCCTGCAAACCCGCTGACGAGAAAACAGTGCCTTCATAGCCGCCTCCCGTCGTAAAGACCGCAGCTTAGATGCTCGCGTGGAGTCGGCCAACCGGGCCTCCAGCCTGCACAAGCAGCGGACCGGCAAGGCTCTCCTCATCAGTCGGGAAATTGTTGAACGAGAAGCCATGTACGAAGAGGTCGATGACCGCTACCAAGAGAAAATCAACCGTATGCTGCACGCTCAGTCGATGCAGCTGCAAACCGAGTTCAACCGCAATCTCATGGCGGCTTTTGCCAACCGTCCTAGTGCTCTGCACCAGCGTCGGGCCAGCTCCCACCTCAACCCGCGGGCGTCTCTCAACGGCATCCGCAAGATGAGTCTGGACTTGTCTGGGCTTCGTGCCTCGGTCTCCGACGGTATGAACACCGGGCCAATGACTAGCCCGTTGGCACCACACCAGGGTAGCTATGTGCTTTCCCCCACATACGACGGAAATTCCCAGTCGCCGTCGTATCCCAGCGTCGTCCCCGCGTCGTCGGGACAACTACCATCCTACCTCACCCAGACCGCGGGCGGACCCACCTGGCCGACGCAGCTGAACGGGCCGCAGCCCATGCGATCGCCTTGGACAGGAGGGTTCGTGTCGCCGGTGCAGCAGGTCCCGGCCACTACGATGGGCGAAATGGGCGCCATGCCGGTTCGTCAGTTCCGGGACCGCATGGGTTCGGCGCCGGTCATTCCCGTTCACGCGATGCCTTCCCCCTTGCTTGCAACTCCCGCGGCGTCTAGCAACAGCAGTGCTACGGTGCCTCCCACAACGACCACAACGTCGTCCTCGTCCTCAACGGCGTCGGCCGGTCCTCGACCGGCCCACCCGATGTACCAGCACACTCGAGTCCGGTCGGAGCCTGGCCAAGCTCTGCGGACGCAAAGCTTAGCCAACCTGTCTCAGCTCAACTCTCCACCAGGCATGCCGATGGATTCCACAGAGCCAGTGCCGACACCAGACTTGTGCCCGACGCCCAGCACACCACAGTCCCCCACATCGACGGGGCAGGACCCGGGTCTTTGGGGGCTAGACCTGAACAAGGACGAGGGGGTAATGGGCTACGCACAGGAGCACCATATGGATCCTGACTATGAAGATTTCAGCCGGTTCGCATTTACGCTGGGCAGTGGTCCCCAGCTGCCGGAATCAGAAACGGCGTTTGATGAATTTTTTACCATGGAGGATTTTCCCGTCAGTGCATGAGTACCCTATACGTTGAGTGATTACTTTGCTCTAAACTATATGTTTAGTATTGATTTATTTTCTTCTTCTCTTTTGTCTGTTTATTATTGTTACTACTACTACTTCTTTTGGGTGGGGACTTGCTGGCTTGGTTGGTGTCGTGTGTACGAGGGGAGACAATACCCGGGAGAGCGGCGTTGACCAGGTGATCCATAGCGAATGCTATACCTTTGCTTAACTTGACATTTCCTCTTGGGATTGGTAGAAATTCAGCCATCTTCGTAACTTCACTCTCTTCCAAAACCCCAACAAACAAACTTCAGGGCCAGTAAAGTGGATCCTCACCGTCCTGGAGCTATCTAGCTAGACCGGTGGAAGCTCCCCAAGCTCCAGGGAACCTGGTGGGTGGAGAATTTGGAGATGAGGTTACATTTCCGCAAACAGCGAACCCGAATGCATCGATTTTCCTCAACATAGACCCGTTCGATTTTATTATTATAATTTAGTGGAAATGAAAGAAATTTTCTTCAGTTAGAGAAAAAACCCCGCGGCATTATATTTTCAGCCGCCGGATGATGTGCATGCATTATAATGGCTCAATAGTTATACGAGTTACACAAAGAAAAAACTTCTTAAGAACTAAGAACTTGGATGGTGAAATGGTTTTTATGAGGACATAGGGTGATCATCGTGTTAGTAGTTATTTGTTAGGTTATCTGATTGCGATATGAGAAATAAATCGAAATAAGATGGTGAGTATCAGCTGAGATGGAATGTAGTGAGTGAGTGACATGGTAGCTACGTGCCCTAGTCACTACGAAGTCAGTTCAGTTAGTCAGGGCCTATAGGTAGTTACTATCCAGATAGATAGATTGGTTACTTACTACTATATTTAGTAAGGTAATAGCTGAGGTAGGTAGAACACGCCGTTTTAGCCGATAGTAGCCATCCACTCATATCCCCTTTTACCCAGCTGGGAATTCCCGTCTTTTATTCTCTCTATGTTTTTTTGTGTCATGGTGGGTGTCGACATGCTGACATCTGGGGGAGGAAGCTGAGGGCCAGCTGAGGGAATTTGGTAAGGGTGATGGGAGATGCGCGGTTTTAGTGTTGAGTTTATTTTTTTTAATTATGGTGATGGTGATTCTGTTTGGTTGGTCTGTTTGGTATGAGATCTACTTTAGAGCTTGGATGAGATGAGTTAGTGGGATACTATATTACTCAGGTAGTTAGTTAGTTGTAGTTACACTCTTTGTATAATATAAAAAAGAGGAGAAGGAAGTAATTCCCTCACTACTCTCATAAATAGAAATATCTGCTGGTAAAGTTCTTCCCTTCTATACACAAGTATCTCTGCACAAGCAGTGTATAGAAATCCACCTCCGCCACCAATAAAGTCTGTCAATCCACACACACACACCCTGCCTTCTAAGTAGAGAGAAAGAGAGATAGAGAGAGGGGAAGAGAGAGCTTGTGTGGTTCTCCCAATCCCTACCCCTCTTTTTCTTTCCTAAACCTATCTATACTCTAGAAAGTAAAGGTACGTACGTACGTACGTAGTCGAATATAGCCCTTGATCGACCAAACTAAACCAACAGACCAGCCTTGATCACGAGAATCATTTACATTAAGTTGTTTAGTTAGTTTAACGTTATTAGTGTGGAAACATCATGTGGGAAGAAACGGGAAGGTGATCTGCATTACTAGTTTCTTTGCAGAAATGCAAGTCATTTTTCTCGCTCACTCACTCACTCACTCACAACAATTTGCAATAATAAGCAGAGAATCTTATCGATTGATTGGCTTGTGGGTTTCCCTTTTTTTCCTTTTTAGTGTGGATACTTACGGAGTTCCGCTTGGTCTGTGCTACGTACTTTAGAACTTGGTTCGCAAACTAGTCCTGATTAGGAAAGGCCGGGAGGCGATGATGAACCTTGATTAGTTAGTACTTTTGACTTTTCAATTACTTTGTGAACTGTTTAGGAGGAATCGGGTTAGGGCGGGTGTAACTTAACTTACTGGTGCTTGGGTAGGTTCAGGTTCGGGTGGTAGGGTTTCCTTGGTTCTTTCTCTCTCTTACTCTTCTCTCTCTCGTCTCTCTCACTGTGCTGTTGCTCTTGGGGGGTTGTTGGTTGGTTGTGGGAGGTACGGGTCTATCCCTCTGTTTTTGTGTCTGCGAGTTCAGTAAGTGAAAAAGAGTTTATTTTGTAGGTTGAGTTCAAGGAGTAGATGCTTTCAGAGTACACATTTCCTTCTTGTTAGTATTCTTAGTATACCCTAACTATACTTCCTGTCTTTACACTCAATCCATCTACAGAACTTTGAGTAGAATCCACATATCCTGCTGCCCTACTACTAATTACTACATACCACACTCCCTCACTACTACCATCAACCCACATAGAAACTGAACCCTACAGTAGTACTATCCTACCAAAGCAAGCAAGTATCTCCTCCCTCGTAAATACACTCCCACCCAAAAACCCACACCCAACATGGAAGTATTTTCCGTCTCGGCTAACACCACCCACTACCCATTCCCGACTTTTAGCAATATCCTGGAGGTGGGATGGAAACCAGCTACCCGACTTACATGAAATAGGGATGGGGAATGGGCCTGTTAAGACCCAGGCTATTCACTAAACTAAACAGAGTAACTGGGTTCATCTGTTGCTTTTGCTACTACTGTTGTTTTTGTGGGCTGGGTCTGGCTACGGACATCCGGCCGATCTCCCATTTCACAGTGGAGTTCAAAGTCTAGAACTTGGGAGCTCCCGGATAGTTGATAGCCCGAAAAAGGGAAGGAGTTGGAGCTGGTGTGGAGTTGGGGGTGTGGGTGTGGGTGGGTGATCATGATGGCTTGCTCCAGAGATTAAGAGGGATTGGATTTGGATTTTGTGTAACGTGTTCTGGGTAGCTTGATTGCTTGTTTGGCTTACATCAGGATTTGTTGAGTAGCTAGCTAGTTAGCTTATGTAGATAGGTAGATGAGATGAGATGAGATGAATATACACTAGGATGACTTACTTACTTCCTGTCCCTGCCAAGTGCCAAGTAGTAACATTTCACACATGGCAGATAATACTACTTAAGGTACTACCTACACAATAATACTAATAGTAAAGTGTAAGATGAATAGATAGATAGTAGGCACCGCCACTGCCTTCCTCACTGCCAAGTCTACCCTAACCCTCACACACTCCGGAAATACTCACCTCCCCCTACCAGTACTAACCTCAAATCTAACCCTCTCCTCCGTCCCAATCTAGACCAACCCACGCTTTCCCTTCCAGGTATAACACCCTCCTATTGGCCTTTTTCCACCCAACTTAACTAAGTCGTACCTTGGGCCCTTCCTCCAATACCCCCCAAGTTAAGTAGGGGGAGCGAAGCGAGCGGGTCTCGGGGATGGCCGGGGCCCGCTTTTCACCTAGTTAAGTACTTAAGTGATCTCTGCAGTTCATAACTGATTCAAGTATCTATGGATCGGGCGTCGTGTATCCACTTGCTGGTTGCTCAGTCGCTGTATTTAGTATACAGTCACTGTGTCACTGGTCAATGGGGAGTGCTGCTGGTGGGGCGTGGGGTGGGGGTGGTCTTGTATTGAGGATACGAAGTATATTACTGTATTGTATGTAATGGAGTGTATTGTGTAAGGATGGGTGGGTGTAGGGCCGAGATTCATCTCCCCGCCCCCGTGTTCTTCTATATGTCAGGTTTGCTCCAGATTTGGGGGGATTTCCGATGGATTGAATCAGGTATGGGATTTGATCCTATGGATTGGATTGATATGTACTTGTTGTCGATCTAGGTACAGAATTGGACATGGTAAATACTAGAAAGGGAAAAAAAGAGGTAAAGAAAAAAAATTAAGGGAGTAAGAAGAACGGGCTATACGATTCGCCCGCTGAACAATTCCCGACCTATCTCGCCGCTACGTCGCACCCCCACGCTCGAACTGCTGCTGCGTCGTCGTCGGCTACGGCTCTCGGCTGGGTCCGCCGGACTGAGTCCGCTCGCCCGCGCGTGCAGGTTCAGGATGTCCGTTAGACTCACAACCCCGACTAGCCGCCCCGAAAGCCGTGCCCCGGGTAGCGCCGAGGCCGGGATCGACGGCGCGCTGAGGTATGCCGCTGGTGCCGCATTGCCGTTGTTGACGGCTGGTGAAGGGGGTGGACTCGAGTTGGTGACCAGTGGGATATGCACAGATGAGTGCGATGGTGTAGGAGGTCCTGATGAGGATGGCGATAGCGGATCGGTCACCCAGAGGCTGGTGGTTTGTTAGTAGTTGCCATTGTGTATGTGCTAGATCTAGACTTACCGATGGGACCGGGTGGCGACCACCTTGGCGACGGTGTGCGCTAGTGTCGACCCTGGGTTCACATGGAAAACCGGGAACGAGTCTTTGCCCTCTTCTAAGCCGCGGTTCGACAGAATCACGGAAATGAAATGCGTGCATGTATTGCGGAGTAGTGGGAGCGATGATGAGCGCGTGAGGAGCTGTCTGGTCAGCGGTGCTCATCTAGCGTCATAGTGCTGCGTACCTTGACATCTGTCGTGGAGATGTTGCCCACGACGTTGGAATGGTTGTCCACCACTGCAATAGACGTGATGCCCTCTTCATTCATGATCTGCAGCGCCTCAACGAGCGGCCGGTCACCACTACACAGCATTAGCTAGATCACTTCAAACCCGTTCAAGGAACGCACTTGATTGAAATCACATCTCGCGACCCGATCCGCAGGTCATGCAGCGACTGCGGATACAGCTGGTCGATCACCGGAAAGCTGCGGCCATTCTCCCACAGGAACTTGACCAGTCGGAATTGACTGAAAATGCCCACAACCTCATTGTCGTCCCGCTCGCTGACTACTACCACGCGATGCACCCCGCCGCCAAACGTCTGTACAGCGGTCATGACACTGGCCGATGCTGGCAACGTCGTCAGCGGTTCTTTGCGACCGAGATCCTTGACATCTCGCAGCGGAATCGGAATGCCTTCTTTCGCTTTGCGTGCAAGTTCTTCGTACGACGCAAGGAGCTCCTCATTCGGCTGTGTTAGTCCCGCCGCTAGCAGGAGATATGCGTTCAGATCGGCGTAGTCGAAGGTGCCCACGGCCGACTTATGCTGGGGCGATTCCCGGATCAGCAGCACCGGCGCCCCGGTGTCGATCAAGATCTAACAGAGTCAGCCCGCGACTCGGAAATTCTATCTGGATCTAGCAGCAGCGCCCACATTCGTCGCTTCTTCAATTCCCGTGTCTATGTCGACGAACTTCAGGTCGTCTGGACTGACCAGCTCCCCGATGGAGATCTCCCGCCAGTCTCGGCCAACAAACGCGGGGTTGGCATTGTTCGGGGCCGGCGGATTGTCGATGAGACTCTGAATGGCGGCCTGGGTCAAGGAGGGTTGTCGGCGTGCCCGCGGCGACCCTGGTGTCGCACGGAGAGTATCGCTGATGCTCTGACGGTGCTGATGATTCGGAGCGTGCGAGGAGAGGCGGAGTGACCGAACGCTGGCGGATGGAGTGCGGGAATCCGTGCTAGAACGGGGAGATGCAACGTTTGATCCACTGGAATTGCTGTCTGCAACCGTATCCATCGGTCGGTCCGTCATGGTGGACGGAAATGGGAGGGAGGGGAGGAGCTTAGGTAAGGAGGGAGGAGGGGTGTAGTTGGCGTGCAGGAAGTTCTCCGGATAGGAGTAGCTGTACAAAAGTACGTGAGACCTGATCTGGGGAGATGATGCTCCCGATTCGAGACAAACAACAGCATCAAAAGTGGCAGTGCAGGCTGCAAAGAAAGGAGAAGCGAGTCTGGATGGGAGGCGAAGACGAAAGGAGAGTCACTCATTCGAAGCCCCCAAAAAGGCGGGGATACGGCGGCTCCCCTTAATCGTCCAATCACAAGCCCCCGCTTGTCATCCCGGCGTCATCCAGCTCCAGTCTGGACATCTCCTAGTCTCCTTTATATCCACCCAATCGTTCTACACATTGATGTACTTTGTATCGAGTCAACTAGGCCTGTCTGCTCCTTACTGATCTACAGCTATGCAGGTACCTCTGCAGCTCCCACACTGTGGCGGTCCCCCGGCCGAGATATGGCCGACCGCCCTGAGACTGTTAGCAGTGACATCATCCAGTCAGCATTAACTAACTATGGATATAGTCCCCACTTGATGGTCTGACACTTTTGACAATCAACTCAAGTCTCCCAGCAGTCCTTCCCAGCCTATCTTGCGGTATTTATCTGGCCTTTGTATTTTCATCTGGGGATAGCCTCGTGGCCTTTTCCGGTCTGACTCTTGCTCGTGCTTGTAAGTCTTGCTGCCGTCGCGGTAGAAGCAGACTTGCTCTTTCCTCATTGGCGTGTCGCTTTTGGTTTTGCTAGGGTTGATTGCGAAGTTCAAGACAGGGGCAGTGTCTAGGCCGGTCGGCTTTTTTGCCTCGCTTTTGATAACTGATAAGTACTGATCGTAGAGAGTTCCGTCCCGTTTCGTATCGGGATCTACTAGCCATCCATCAACTTGAAAATCAACCTTAGACGCCTTCGTGAGATCCCCGCAGTCCGCCGCGAGAACAATCTCCAGCGACGGAAAGTCTCGCAGGTATTGAAAGATCTGCACCGTGAGGTCACATTGACGAGACAAGACCAAGACTCGGAGATGTGCAAATGCCCCAGAACTCTGCTGCAACTCGTTCCACGACCGGATGATGCGATTGCTGAGCGTGACCCCGGACGACTCGCCGTTATGCCAGGTCTGCGGTGGCGATGATATTTCCAAAGCTACCAAGTTCCGGATACTAGCTATCTCCACGAGATCAGGAACCCTGGCGATTGATGGGTCCAAACTCAGCACAACCCGCCAACTCAAGGTCTCGCTCTTCACCTCCTTCCAGTATTCGGGCATGCCCATCTCCACGCTTTTGACACTATAGGAGCGATAACGGTTGACTTCTCGGAATTGCTCGGGGTAGGCCATTGCAAAGAGCTTCCAGCTGTGTAGAGTTCTTCTCTTGCTACGGCAAAAGTTAGGCCATATTCGTTCTTATATTCTCGATCATCCTACCTCTTGCCAAGGCAATCCCAGAGGTAGCTAGCAATATGCCAGGGTACGTAAGCAAAAATTTCCGGCCGTAGTCTCCTCTGGTCAGACAACAGGCACTTCATGGCGGAATGCTGTAATGAGGGCGCCCCGACTCGGCTGCTCTCCTCCCACCTTTCTGGCAAGAACGGAGACTCGTGAACCCAAAAGGGTCTATTAGGATACTTGGAAGGATGAAAGGCCATCTCCCTATAGGCCTGGCCGGTTCGCCGGTCGATAGTAACGCCAGCCATTTCTGAGACAGCCCGCTTGGGCTTTGTATATGAGCTAGCAATACGTCACTCAGCTGCGGCACATGAATTCCTTATTCATTAGTTACGTAAGGATGTGTTGCACGATAGTAAATCAGGTCGTTTAGACGAGTGTTCGTTGCTGAAGCGGGTAAATATCGATGTGATGGGAGTAGGAGTAAATGTTTCACCGCAAACGCAATTCAAGTAACACAGCCACGTGATCTGAGACAAGCATAAATATAACGGCCTGATATGAAGTCCGGGGAGTTTGGGCGAAATGTGAAATAAAGCCGGTTGACACGGTCCGTGTTTTCAGCTAGTATGTGAAATGTGCTCGCGACTCTGTTTTTGATGGCCTGTCATGTGACTGTCCGGTAGATACTGAAGGGTCCCAGTTTCCTAATAGGGAAGCCCCACCGATCGAGTGGTTCGTTCTTTCTTTCTTAGTCTCTTGATCTACTATTCGTCTTTAGTTCTGTTCACTTTCCTCCTCCTCTCCCTCTTCCTTTTCGTCTTCTCTCTTAACCCGTCTGTCAGAAGCCTCAGTCACAGAAAACTATAAGGCTGCCATTACAGTTTTACCATGACCAACTCAGAATGCCGCGTGATGATCCGACTGACTGAATTTCCGATGGCCAACTACCATGCAACTAACACAAACCTCATACTAACATAACTCCATCTCCGCTCAAATGATTCATCGCGATGATAATATCATTACAAAACTGAGCTCAAGGCACCTCTCGGCATTCTCACTGCAGCAAATAACGCGCTCAGCAACGGTCTAAATATGTACGTTCAGGGATCTGCCCGCCCTGTTCCTGCGCTCCCTGCAGATGACTGTCCCATACCCGCGCCCCGGGGGGCTGGTCAGCCGCTGCGCCTCGATATACCATAGGTCACAAGTCAATCGAGGCTGACGCGGGCGCCAGGCAGCGAGCCCCCTCATGCATGTATCTCTCCGTCTGCATATCTCGGTCGATCCTATACCCCACAGGGACACAGCCTTATGGCCCTGTTCCCCTGACTCCTCAAAATAGGAAATGACTCAGGCCAAGCTGCCTGAGCCCGTATAGATGCCACTGCCCTGCGGCTTGGGATCAATATGATGCAGTCCTGCAGGATCAGGAGGCTGCCTGCCTCGTGGCGCCCGATATTGTACATCTTAGAGGGCTATAAACTGGCTTCAATCTTCACTCACCTGCAGAACGCTATTCTATCTTTCAGTATCGCTATCAATTCAACTCAACTTATCACATTACAATCGTGAGGGACTTAAGCTCACACGAGCAGATACGCACTAAACATGTCTTCTGATACAAACCTCAAAGACCCTACCGTCCTTCACAAGGTCGCACGGGTAGTACATGCATGGAAGCGAGAGTCAAGCATGCTCCAAATGGTCACTTCATTCATCTCGAAGCCCCCATCGATTCAAACGGCAGACGCTCGTCAGCATACCGTATGGTTGTTTGATAACACTGCCTATCAGATACCGGCGCCCACAGCATCAAGACAGGCATCATGGCACGTAGAAGTCGTGGCCTGCGCTTTCCGCAAGAATAGCCGAAGGGATATCACCAAGCTCGTCGCCATGATTGCAGACCTCATTGGACTGGACGGAGAGATAGGAACGGACAAGGAGACTCGCCATCGGATAACAGAACGACTACAGCCATTCCTGTTCCATACTGCCTCTGCACACTTGATGACACTCGAAACTCCCTTGCCGAACAGCACCATCCAGATGCAGAAGATCGGGCCCACCGATGAGAGTGGCATCAGTAGTCAGACAATTAGCGCAAACAGCAAGCACATCACAGATGGCACTAAAATTCGATCATATCTTCGAGGTTGGGGAAACCAGGTTTTCATGGACACCATCTTTGCTTGTCCAGAAGGTTGGCTTGTCATCTCCGACATCGACGATACAATCAAGTACACCAAGACTTCTGAGACCACTGGCATCCTTCGCACCACGTTCGTCGAAGACCCCAAGCCTATTGCCGGAATGCCTCAGCTCTATGCCCATATCCAGAACCAGCTTGTACCCGCATGGTTCTATGTCTCGGCTTCTCCTTATAATTTGTACCCTTTTTTGCACGGATTCCTTGGTTCATATTACAGTCCGGGTACGATGATTCTTCGAGACTCATCCTGGTTGGATATCAGCGAGCTAGTAAAGTCCTTCACCGTTAACACACACGAGTACAAAGTGGACCGTGGGGAGAAAATTCATGGGTGGTTTCCCAAGCGCCAAGTGCTCTGTATCGGAGACTCCACCCAGCAAGATCCCGAGGCCTACGCAGAACTTTATAAGAGGCATCCGCACTGGATCCAAGCAATTTGGATCAGGAAGGTCACAGACGTGCCTCACTTGGATGAACAGAACGCCCCAGAGAGGTTCAAAACTGCGTTTGCGGGTATTCCAGAACACGTGTGGAGGGTGTTCGAACAACCGGCGGAAGTGCATCATCTGGTGGCTGAACTTAAGTCAAGCAGTCGGCAGGCACAATCCCCAAAACAAGGCCTGGTCTACCCACAGAAACTTCCGCCACCGCCAAAAGACTTGGTGATGAGCTCAATATCGCCTGATCAGTCGATCTATTGACGGTGCTGAGATAAGCCGTTCTCTCTTGGGTTACGTCAACATGAGAGTATGTTCACCCGCAGCCGCGGTGGCTGCCGCCCACACCTGAATTTATACTAAGCTCTCTTGTGCCCAAGGGTTGCAGATCATTTTATTTTCCCCGAGTTACAGGAAGAAGCTCAGAATATACCAAAGTCAAGGCTTATCCACTGAAAGAATTCGTCCCACCTGGCACTAAGCATAACGAAGCTTCGCAGCACTCCACTGTTGCAGCGGTTCATGTCAATTGAGTTTAATACTCCATTGAATACGATCGGTGACTGCGACACTATCACGCATTAGAGGGACCGAGCGAATCGTCATGAAGCCTGCAAAGCCTCAGTCAACCACGATGGACGAACAGACGTTCGTGCCACCAACAATGAGGGCGCTTTACTTCAGCCCGGCATCAACAGCTGTCACAGACCACACATCTATGGACGAGCCTAGGACGGATTCCCATGTGAAGTTCGACACGGACTTTCAAACTCCCATCCCTTCAGGGAACGACTATCTCGTCAAGGTGCAGGCAGCCGCCTTTTCCCATGATGAGCTCCGGCTATCTAATATTCTGAACCCATCCAAGTCCATTCCGCAGATCCCTTTGCATAGTTTTTGCGGTACAGTCATTAGTACCCCTGAAAAAGACCACTGGAACCCAGACGGGCCCAAATTCAAGGTTGACGACGCCGTCTTTGGGCTGATCAAGCACACGCGCGACGGTGCAGCAGCCGACTACGTCATCGTATCGGAAGATGAGCTGGCGTACAAGCCCAAGAATATCAGCGCTGCTGAAGCAGCTACCATACCCATGCCCGCCTTGACGGCCTGGGAGGCGTTATTCAAGTACGCCGGGCTTGACACCGCCGACGTCAAACAGGGTCGCCAGCAGCTACGGGTTCTCATTACCAACGCGCGTAACAATGAAATTGCCACTCAGGCACTACAATTGCTTCGATCGCATAAGCTCTTCCCGCACTCGCGGCCCTGGATTTGCGCAACCTGTGACGCTGAAGACCAGGAGGATTACCTGCGGAAAGAATGCGACGTGGACGCGACAATCTATGCGCCACTTCCCCTACCACATGACTATGATCTCGGGTCCATCTTTCGCAAGAACCGCTGGGACCCGGTAGATGTTGTCCTGGACTGCGCTGGTCAGGAGATGTTCGAGCAAGCACACTCTCCAAAGGTCATCAAAGAGCATGGTGCTGTCCTGACCGCGGTAGACTCGACGCCGGCGGAAGCCAGGGACCCTCTCGATGACGATGAGCCACGCAAGGATGGCGTGCTTAGTCGCTTCATTCTTGTCAGCCCCAATGGTGAGGCTTTGAGCCGGATTTCCGAGCTAGTTGAGGCAGACGAGGTCCGAGGGAGGGTCGAGAGCATCAAGGACTTAGTTGACGGCACGGACGTGCTATCCTCGGGAGCGGCAGGAGCGGGCGGAGGGCGACGGGGAGGTATGATGGTGATCCGGGTTAACTAGCATGAAGCGTCTGATATCTATCTTCTTCGTGATCTTGTATTTCTAAGCAGCATGACAGCTCAGTGAATGTACCATACTCGGCAGCTACATTAGCGATTAGCTTCATCAAGGTTTAGACTAGTAGATCTATAGACCATCGTCAGAGAAGGGCAGACCAAGGCAAAGTATCTCGTTAGCCCGGGCGCATGAGACGGATTGATACCAAAATTCTTTTCTTGTTATTGAATCTTACAGGTAGGCGAAGCATACCCTTGGAAGTAACTAACGACATGGTGGAAGAGTAAAGCGCTAGAAGCACAATCAACAGACAGGGTAGGAGGGGAAGAAAAGGAAATCCGGAAAAGAGAAAAGGGAGTAGAAACACATACAGGCTCAATCCCAGTCAGGTGCCGCACAGGTTAAACAAGAAACCTCACTCACGACAAGACTTTGGTGCGACGTGATGATCGAAAGGGAACGGAAACAAAAAGAAAGGAAGAATTGATAAGAAGGAAGACGAAATCGACAGCACAAGCCACCCGGTGTACATGGTAGATACATTCATGAATGGAACGGAGTAGACGGAGAGGAAACGGACAGGAACCTTTAAGCTCCCCTCTGCTACACGTGTTAAGAGAAGCAAGGAAAGTAAAGAGGGGGGGGGGTTGTGTTATGGGGATGATTAGAGGAAGTTGAAACAAATTGGAATAATGACTTTAGGTAGAAGAAAGAAAAGGAAGGGGGAGAATAGTAGAAGAAAATAAATTTTTTAGAGGGAAATAAAAGAATCATAAATAGAATAGTAAATAAAGTAAAAGCAGAGGTCCGTGCAAGGCCCTCTTTGGATGGTTCTGTCTCCATGTGTAGCACTCATTCTTAATCTCTCTTTAAATTTTTTTTCCTTCTTCTTTTCGATAGTTTTTGGTTGTCTGATGACAAAGGCACAAACCAGTTGCGTCCTTGTCATGGCATACCGGGTTCAGTGTTTTGGAGGGCGCCCCGGTGCTGGTTGTCTGTCCTGGCTGCATGCATGTGAACGGGGTTTAACTTCCCAGAGGTGCGTACAATTCCTGTGGGAATTGGGGGAGTGTGTGCTTTGAGAAATACATATGGCATGGCCGCGCTTTACCTCCTTGAAAATAGAGGGAGGGAGCGGGCGAGTCATGGGTGGAAAAGAAAGCTGTGGAACAAAAGCAGACGATGAAAACACAGATCAATGGAGATCGAATCGAACATCCCGTGCAAAACAATGCAAGACGGATTTCATATAAACGCCACTCTGCCAGTTCCAACCGGTATACCGGTGACTACTTCAAGATGAAGCCAAGTAGAGCTCCCCCGGGGTAGTTGTTTTGTGGATTCAGAAACCAATAGCATAAGGGGAAATAATAGGAAAGTAAAAAGACAAACTAGGTTGGGGACTATAGCAGATGACGAAGAATGATAATACCCTTACAGTAGGGAGTCGAGTCTAGTGAAAACGCTCAAACATGCTGCCACAATCTGCAAGAGGATTAGCACTGGGCGCAGAGTAGCCAATGGATGAGGAGCAACGTACCTCCATCTGAAGTTCTCGGTCCTTAGATTTGTTCACCTCGTCGTTGATAGCCTGTGCCAGATTTGCTCCAATGGCCTGCGACCCTCCTGCTCTCCGGGCAAATGGCCACTGAGAGTATTCAGCAAGCAACTCATCCACCTGCGCGAATGCCCTTTCGCGGGCCTCATGACTCATTGTGACCAGAGCGTTCTCCAGCACGTTGGCCGCATAGGCCGCGCATACCATGGTGATGGTTCGTAGGTAACGGAACTCGACGTCCTCAGGAAGCCATGCATTTGCCGGGAGGATCACTGTACGGCTGCTGCAGACGTTGCGGACGCGGCGGTGGAGATCGTCCTTGGCGCCTCCATCGGCGACGGGATGCGTAGCCATGTCGAAGAGGAGGAAGTTCCGCTTTTCGGTGCGAAGGATACCCTTGTCTACCAAACCTTTGGCGAGGCGTTCGCGCACTTGCTTGAGTTGGTAGCCAATCTTCATCAGATTCCATGTTTCGCCTGCCCGGAAGACACGTCGAGTCAGCCAATGCGTCAATAGCAATCGCGGAAGAATCAATAAGGAAACATGATCGGAGATGCTCCTGCGTAACGTACCGCTCAACAAATCGATCCAGGAGTTCACGCTCATCTTCTCACTCGACTTCATTATCTTCAGCGCCTCGTCCAGCAAGACCTCCCCAGTTAGCGTATCGTCGACCACCTCAATCACCCGATCGGCCAAAGGGAAACGTCGTCGAGAGGAGTCCTTCTGCATGCTGATCCGACCACGGAGCGCTAACTCGATCACGATGCATCCTCGGAGAGCGTATGAGATGTTCTCGTTCCAAAAAGACAGATAACCCTACAGCGACACCAAGCCATCCCGGACGCGCCTGTCAGTCATTGAACACTGGGTGTAGATGCGCGTAGCTAGGCTAGGGGCTCACCTGCTTATCCTTCAAGCCCAACAGAAGCACCTCTTCCATCAGCGTCAACTTGGGCTGCTTGCTGCGTTCCTCCGTCTCACTGATGTCCCTAGGATCGAAGGCGATTTTGTGACCGTTTTCGGAGCTGGTGAACGAGGTCTCGGGGATGCGGTTATCCAGCGACGAACCATTTCTCGACACGGGCGAAGAGACTCTGCTGTCGTCGTTGTCTTCGGCGCCAGCGACTCGACCGCCACCTCTCCGGCGAGTCAACCCCCCGGCTGAGGCCATGAGGATCTAAATGCGGCTGGAGGACGGGAGTGGGGGGGAGGGAGGAATCAAGGGAACCAGGATGGTGTCGATAAGCACGCAAATGATGGAGTCTATGCCGTTATCGTCTGCGACATGGACAGATGTTTGTCTTATTGGGCGGGTAGGAAGATCGGAGGTTGGAGTTGCTAGAATGGAAGAGTGACGCCGGAAAGTTTGCTAGACGGGAAATTGTCAGGGGGGGTTAGTTGTGGTGGAAGACGACGACGAAGAGGAAAGGCAGGCCGACAATCAATGGGGGAAGAAGGAGACGGGCGGCCAGAGAAGTGGGTAACTGAGCCGAGCAGCGACAAGAAACCCCAATTACAGCCCGGTGAGAACTCAAGACAAGAAAAAAGAAGGGTGGTGGTGGTGGGAGATAAAAACCCGGGGAGGGAAGTGTTGGATGGAGGAGATATAAAGATTGATGCGGTCGATGCGGTCGCTAAGGCTATCTGGCGCTTGGTCTTCCTTTGGCTGGGCGTCTCCAGTTAGTTAGTAGTTGTTGCTTCTCCGGTGACGGACCCCATTCTTTTATGGTCACTACTTACTACTTACTACTTTCTACTTATCTATTCCCAGCCCACTCGGTTCCAGGCCCCTGCGGGTTTTATTTTTATTTTTATTTTATTTTATTTTTCTCTCTCTGCTTCAGTCGCATTAAACATTGGTTTCAAGGCTGCAGCAGGAAATCCCAGCCCTTCTCACCTTCAATATGCTGGCTGGGGCCCTGCACTTAAAACATTTCTCGTTGATTGCTCCCGAATCGGTAGCCTCCACGTCATCCCACGGAACCGCATATCAGATTCGTTCCGACCTGAACACCGCGTGCAATACCAAGCTTAATTCAACGCTATCAGTTTCATCAGCATTACTTTCTCAGCAGTCAAGCTAATTCCTTCAACAACACCCAATAAAGAAAGAATTAGATATTTCATACGAAAAGACCAGCCAAAATCAGTCAAAACTGCATTGAAGATGATATACACGATATAATAGAGTGAAAGAGCACAGGCATGTATCAGCATACAGAGTAGCGTGACCGACTCCGGGTACCTCCACTATGGCAAGTCCCATGTAGATGCACGCCAGAAGTCCCTTTCCTTTCTATTCTAAATCCCCCAATCCACTCCGAGTCCTCGCATTACGTTCATATTTAGTGAGCTAGCAGAGTAGTCAGTACCAAATCCCCACAAGTCATGTTCAATTGCACAACAAAGTGTGTTATGTCAAAACTTACCATCGGGCTGACCAAGGATGTACTCAACAGCCTTGTCAACTATAGCAGAAGGAATGGTCAGTATGTGTTCTCCGGCGTCGCAATACCCTGTAAGGGCATCTCATCCCAAAGCTGCACTTACCGCTGTGGATGGAGTCGGCCTCCTTGTCGGGGATCTCAATGCTGAATTCCTATAGACATCCCTATCAGTATACAACGTCGAGGATAAACCAGGGCATATGCGATCTCCATACCTCCTCAATGGCCATGACGACCTCAACGGTATCCAAGCTGTCCAGACCGAGGTCGTTCGCGAAGTGAGAGGCACCGTTGATCTGTTACATCGCGACGGTTAAGCTATGATTCTTTACCCGCGGGAAATCCCGGCCAATGACATCGGGCGTCATCGGGTATCCAAACTGACCTTGCTAGCATCGGAGACCTGTTATAATTCCAGCCTGTCAGTCACTGTGCTTGTTTTATATTTCTTGATAGCTTGCAATTCCTCGCCTTGAGCGAGAAGTTGAAAACGCGCGATTCCGGACGCACCTTGTCAAAGTTCTTCAGCAGGTTGACTATCCGACCCTCAACCTCATCCTTGTTGAGACCAGCGGGGGCGGAGTAGAGTCTGACACCCTGGTAGGCAAAGCGAGGGGCGAATTGGGCCGGACGAGCGACAGGAGAGCTACGGATCTGGAAGGGAGCCGGAGTCTTGACGGCACGAGGGACGGAGGCCCTGAGGGAGCGGACGACAGCGGAGCGGAACATGATGGCAGGAAGGTGAAGCTGAAAAGGGAGGCTAAAAAGGGCCTGTGTAAGAAGAAGAGGTGGAGTGGGGGGGAGAATGAGGAGGAGAAGGTAGTGATGGAATGGGGAAAGATTGGGGGAAATGAAGCGATGGATGATGAACGGGTTTGGATTCTGTTGCGGCTCGGAGGAAGCAAAATCCTGGCGGCGGGCCAATCACGGGGCGGCAGAAAGCCATGACCTAAGCAGGCCGGCGACCCAAGCAGAACTTCGTCGACTTCCACCTCCAACCGCTTCTGGTTCGAATTGCTGCTGTTCCCCCCCTCTGTCAATTGACCTCCCCCCTCGTCATCCCCGCTCTTTCGCGCGCTTCTTCGACTTCCGCGATGGCCGCCCCCAAGTCCGTCGCCAGGCTCGTCGCCTACTCTCGTCCTACAGCCTTCCCTCTCCGCTCTTCGCCCTTGGGATCCATCGCAAACTTCTCTTCCTCGGTGAACCGGGCAGCTACGCCAGCTGGTCCCCCCCAACCGGGCTTCCGTCTGCCCCCTCCGAAGAAATGGGACGAAGGCACTGAGTCTTCTCTCGACAAGGCAGGAAAGTACTTCCTTATGGCTGAGTTGTTGCGCGGCATGTACGTCGTGCTGGAGCAGTTCTTCAGACCTCCGTAAGTCGCCCCATCCAGCTTCGTCAGGTCTGCCTCGGTGCATATCATCATCAGAACGTCTCGTGGGCCTTCTAAGCCTGTCTATTGCTTTCCCTTATCTTGGAGAGGATTGTTCTGTCTCAATGGACTTGCGGCTGATGCGCTGGTCGTTTAGTTACACCATCTTCTACCCCTTCGAGAAGGGTCCCATCTCCCCCCGTTTCCGTGGCGAACACGCTCTGCGTCGCTACCCCACCGGTGAAGAGCGCTGCATTGCCTGCAAGCTCTGCGAGGCCATCTGCCCGGCCCAGGCTATCACCATCGAGGCTGAGGAGCGTGAGGATGGAAGCCGTCGCACGACGCGTTACGATATCGACATGACCAAGTGCATCTACTGTGGTTACTGCCAGGAGAGTTGCCCTGTCGACGCTATTGTTGAGAGTGAGTAATCAGTAAAATTCTGTAGGACGTGAGTCGTTTACTGACAATGTCGCGTAGCTTCCAACGCCGAATATGCCACCGAGACCCGTGAAGAGCTGCTGTACAACAAGGAGAAGCTTCTCGCCAACGGTGACAAGTGGGAGCCCGAAATTGCTGCTGCTATCAGAGCCGATGCTCCTTACCGCTAAGCGGCACCTGTATTTGCCAATGATGACACCGGACACGGTGTCCATGTGACACTCCCCTTGGAAGAGATGCGAGAAAAACATGATATTAGAAAGTCTTTCCGACCTAGAAAGCCTGGCTTGTAGCCACCCCCAATTATCCCCACGCTGTACATATCTCACGCCCATCCCCCCTTCGCCTCCCTGATTACCTTCTGTACTAGTCGGGTCTACCGGAATTGATCAGATCGGCCACTCGATTCCGGGTCTGGTTTTGTCTTTGATGTTGAAGGAAATCCTGCATGTTGTGTTGTTTTTTACTCTTGTTTGTCTAGGGATCCAATCAAAGAATTTTTCCTTTGTTATGTACCAGAATAGTGCTTGAACAACGACCTATCAGTGCAGCAACCATGCTCAACTATAAGCTATGGTATCACATAGCAATACACTGGTCTGCCATACTCTCCGCCACTCAATCACTCACAGCCCAACCAAGCACGCAATATCCTCAACACTGCGGTACTCAGCTAGCAATCTCTCCCAACCCACCACCCGCCTATTGCTATTACCTACCCCTATCAATTGGAATTATCGGATATATCCTACCCTCCCATACAAAACCACGCATACCCAGCAACACAGACATAATCATCCCTATATCCGGTAAAGCTATAGTGGATAAACCCATGTCGTCCAACATGATACTTTCACGGTATACAGAACACCTACACCGCAACTCTGCCTCCATATCCAACAAAGAGTCCAGACCATCCACAAAGGCATACTATCCATACAATAGCCTGAATAGACAGCCCTACACCAGAGACCTCCCACGGAACTACCACTCGTCTCTCCCGCAAAACAAAAGGAAACTGCCATTATTTTCTCCCCTCAAACTCTGGTAGCGACGAGAACGTCCCGTCCCGTAGTCTGTAACAAAGCAACAGAGTACAACAGAGCTAGTAGACTAGGTTAAGGTTGGTGTTGGGGGTTTCTTTGTGCAGTAGCAGGTTGACACGTTCCAGTGCTGGTAGATGAGTGTAGGAGAATGCCTAGACATAGCCCTTATGTCCATACCGTGATACGCTTCCAGAGCAATTAAGCATATCTGTAGACCCTTCTAGACTTCTATATGTCCCATCACGTCCTGCATATGGGATAGATAATCGCTCACGGCATATCCCAAACATCTACCAAAGTCATGAACTTCAATGTAACAGCATAGCTATATAAGCCCTTTCATCACGAGATGGCCCCCCCTTATACAATGAAAGAATCACCATCCCATCCCATCCAACCCAACCCAGCCCTCATTCCCTAACTACCCACTCGATATGACTACCACCACCACCACCCTCTCCCTCCTCGTCTTCCACGGCTCCCCCCTCGACTTCATCAAATACCGGCACGCCGTACTCCTCCTCACCACATACCCCGACAACCAACAAAGCATGTTCCACATCACGGGGCCCCCCGGCGAATTCAAGTTCGTTGAGGTAACCGGGACGAATCCCACGCAGAGCGCGAAACTAGAGCGGAATATCCCCGTCGTATCGACGGTAAGTGGTGATAAAAACTCTACTACTACTACTATCTCTAGGAAGATGGTCAGGGATGCGTGCGCTAGGGTTAAAGTGCGGAATGATCTCCCCGGGTGGAATTGTCAGAATTGGGTGGGCGAGGCTTTGTCGGAGTTAGTCAAGATTGGGTGTTGTACGGAGGTGCAGAGGGGGTTGGCTGTTGATGGGATGGTGGATGCGTGTTTGGAGGCGAGGGATGAGAGGTTTGCTTAATTTCTTTTCTTTCATTTTTTTTTTTTTTATATTGGGGAGAAGGGGTTAAAAAGTTTTGATGATGATAGGTTGATATAGATGGTGGTGATAGACGATAGATGATGGATGAGTGATGATGATGATTATGATTGATGATGGGTAACTCTTTTCGGGCCCATGACTTATGAGGTATGACTTGGACTGAGTTACGACATAGACAAAAGTTTGCTGGCAGACAATTCTAATGAAGATGATGACTATTGGTATGCATGGTTAGCTAAGGTCTCCTCAGAGTCTCTCTCTTAGCTACTGTGCTGCGAACTGCATTGTGCATACTCAATCAAATTCGTACATGAATGTAGTAGTTGTGCAAGCTCAGCTGGCATAAGAAACAACAAACAAAGACAAAAAATGCTTCGTGAGATTCGGTATATATGCACAAAATGAACAGAGAACCTCCAGAGTTTAAACTCCCCAAACACCGTTTCTCCAATGCCCGCACTCCCTTCAACTTTTTGGTCTCGAGCTTCTTTTGCTCAATCTGTAGCATGTTTCTGCTCCTCTCTGAGTTTTCCCTTTTGTTCTTCCCTTTTTTTTTCCTTTGGTTGTTTTGTTTTTGAATCTTCCGGCCCCCATTCTTCTGTGCGTGTATGTACACATGGTCAGAGGTTGCAGCTTGGTATTACACTTTGGACGGGTCTCCACTTCTTCTTCCAACATAGCAGCACAATGTTTGCTTATTTCTTGCCTCCAGACTTGGCCTTGAAGCTGCCCTCAAAGCCCGGTCTGGACTTCTTCTTAGCTCCTCCGGCCTGCTTCTTCTTGCCGCCTCCCTTGTTGCCCTTCTCCTCTCGGCGCTTCCGGAGGTTCTCTTCACGCTTCTGCTGCTTCATGTCCTTGCCCTTCTTCACGGCTTCCAGACGCTCCTTCCATTCGCGCTCGGACTTCTTCTTCGCCGATTCCTTGCGCTTGAGCGCCTTCTTCAGCAACGATGTGTCGTCACGGACCCGTTCGCCATGTGCCCGCTTCTTCGCGTTAAGCCACAGGTCCTTCTCTTCAATGTCAGCCCGCTTCTGCTCGTCCATGGCGGCGAGCTTGGCCTTCTTCGCTTCAACAGCCTTCAGGGCTGCGGCAGGGTCTTTAGGACCGTGGCTCTTAGGTTGCTCCCGGACTCCGGAAAGAGTGGGGTCGGCGTGTTGGCCATCTGCGAAGACAACGCGGCCAAAAGCGTAGTTGTTGTTCGAGCCGACGGAATCAGCGGGTGAGCGCGGGGAGGCGAGAAGGGATCCCGAGCCACCAGGAGAAAAGCGGCGGGCCATGGCTTCATCCTTCAGCCGTTGCTCCTCTTCTCTAGCCTTTTGGCGCAGCTCCTTCTTGTGCGCTTTGCGTTGCTCGGCTTTTTGGCGGCGAGCTTCGATTAGCTCTTGACGGTTTCTAGCGGGCTTTCCGTTGAGCCCATCGGCATGGCGGGCTGCGCGAAGTTCATCGAGCCGCTTCTGTAACCGTTGCTTGAGCTCATCGGGGGTAGGCTTGAGAGGCTTAGGTTCGGAGGTGGAGGATTTGGAGGCTTCGGTGGGGGGAACAATGGAGGATATGGAAGAGCTGCCCGATTGGGGATTGGAAGCATCGAACCCAGGGGAGTTGGGGGTGGACGCAGAAGAGGATGGTTGTTCTTCTTGTTCGGCGTTGAACTCGAGCGAGAGACCTTCGGCGGGGACGCCATCCGCAATTTCACTGTCATCACTATCGCTGTCCTCTTGTTCTTGTTTTTGTTCCTTGGTCTTGTTGGCGGGGGTCGACTCGGATTTTTGCACAGCAGGTGTTTCGGTCTCTTCGGGCTGCTCGGCTACCTTGACCTTCCTAGCAGCTTCCTTGGCCTTCTTCTTCTCCTTCTGAGCAGCTTTCTTCTGGGCCTTCTTTTCCTCCTTCAACTTCTTGCGCGCTTCTGCCTCTTCGGCCGACTTGGCGGATGTGCGCTCCGCATCAGCCGAGTCTTCGGCCTGCTTTTGCTTCTTTGAGTTGGCATCTCCTCTCTTCAGTCCTTCCTTGGGCTTCTCGGAGCCGAGTTCACCGTTATCAGAAGAGTCGTCTTCCTCCCCATTCCCTTCCTCGTCACGTTTACGCTTGCGTGCATTCTCGTCCATCACATCCTTGGCTGACTTGGCGGAATCGGGGTCCAACTTCGCCCGCTTGGCTTCACGGGCCTGCTCCTTAGTCTGCTTCTTGCGCTGCCATTGATCCTATTCCAGGAACCACTGGTCAGCTGTGTCTTAAGCGCGACGCTAAATGAGACGAAGGGAGAAAAGGGAAGGGCAGGAGGAAATTTTGCAGCAAGAAAAGATTGGACAAGTCACATACACTGCCATCTTCGCCGTAATAAAATTTCGCCGGGATCAGCGACAGTAAACCGTCGAAGGCCTGAGCATGGCTTCGCAGGCGTTCCTGAAGAAGAAAAAATAGAGGAGGTCAACCTCGTGATCGGGCATAATGCAATGCACGGAACAACACACCTCGATATCATCCATCCTTCAAGAAACAGAGTGACCGCAGACCTTCCAAGGGATCCAAGCCGTTGAACCAGTAATATACTGGAGGTTGATGAGAAATTTGGGCAACGCTCGGTCGAACGTAGTGAAGGCCGCGATACTTCGAAAAAATTGGGTGGGCAGGTTGAAATCTTGGCGCTCTGTCTCCGCTCGGCTGTTCACCGCCCGCGCACACAGACTGTTGTTCGGATTAATGTTTGACCTTGTGCAGTAGCAACTGGTCAATGAGATTACAGCTACGTACTACATGACTCCGAGTCTGTTCATAGCCCACTCATCATTATACAGCTACGATAAGTTGGTGCACAAAAGACTTGATTTCATCCATACCATACAGAAAGTCATCAACTTCATTAAGAAACCCCCATACCATAGACAGCGGGTTTCCTCATCAGGTACCAGCCCATGATGATTTACTCTTGCACTTTCAGTAGTGCTGGCACTGGCACATCCAATTCCGGACATTCTTCGCTTTGGATCTCAGTGATATTATCATAAGGAAATGGAATCGTCCAGATCAAATCGAACCTAGATAGGAAACCCATTCATTAGTAACTCATCTAGCCTGAAGCCAAACCATCCAATAACTTACCGATCATCAGGATATTCAGGAGGGTCCTCATATCCCAGCTCCTGGACAATCTGCCTCATCTTACCATGGCGCCAGGAGATCAGAATATTTCCTGTTCCTTTGAACTCTTTGATCCGTTTCGCCACACACTTAACGTGATTGCGCTTGCAGGATGTATCAACGGAGAGGCCAAGGTCCCGTGCGACGGGGAGGACGGTCTCATAGGAACGCCTATGCTGGCCTCCTGAGCAGTCACCAACATAAACATTAGCTTATCCGGCCTGAAAGTGGGAATAACCGCCTGAGATGCGCCATGTCTTACGCTTATTGATCTTGGGTGCCATCACATGGCCTATTTCATAAGGTGACCCCACGCCGAATACTTCCCGGAGGCACTCGGCGCGTTTGAACCCATCGGCATTTAGTCCACTGTCCTCAGGATCTGGGGGTTTCTCGCCATGACGGATGAGAAACACTGTCGGGGGGTTGGGGTTGGGCGTAGATATTGGGGATGCATGTAAGATGGTAGAAAGGCATAGAGGGGATAGTAGAATGAGTACGGATTTCATTCTGTGGTAAGGCCCAGCTGATGTACTATGTATATATATCCGACAATATTTGCTGGGGTTTCAGACGTAAGGTCAACACATCGATAACTAGTAGTAGTATAGGTCAGGAGTCCTTCGATGAATGATCTCGAAGTTTGAAAGACTCTTTAAAGCTCCCTCATTCTTGCTGCATTCCAGGGAAGGAACGCTACGCACTATTTAAAACCGAAGCAACTAATACGCAGTGGCACCCCCTGCCACCTACAGGCGTGGATCTACAATTGTCGCACACCCACCATTGCAAACTCAACTATGAGCGAATTTTCAGGATGATCCATGTGTTCATCGTAGTGAAAGAAAAAACCTCGGTGACGGTCGCAAGTGGGTGCTAATTACAGTTGAAACATGCTTCTTCCCTCGCCCCCTCCATAGTATAACTACTAACTTACTGATGTCGCAGTTGTCGGTCAGGCGGGCTATCCACCACGAGAGGCACCGCGTAAAGTATAACCTTAACAGGCGACCAATCTGTTTGCTTCCACCAGCTGGTCGCTGGAGTCAGATGATGATCTGTCTAGACTAGTTCTTGGGTATTTTTGAGGGGCACTCTTTGTGAGTACCTTGCGAATACTTGAGATGTTTATCGAGGAATGAAATGAATTATATGGTGCCGCGTGGGCTAGCTGAGTGTAGGAAGCTTGAGATGTGCAACATGGTCGTGCCGTTAACCTTGCATTTTGCGTATGCTGGGGAGGTGGTTGTAAGGGGTTGGGGGGATCTTGGTATGATAAGGTTTGATAAAGATGGGTAAGTAGTTGCTTATTGCTGGGTTGGTGTGTAAGGCTGTAAGCACTTTCGTGGTTGATTATGGCCCCGCGTTTTTATACATAAAGGAAGGAAGGCACTTGGTTCCGTGGATCATTCCATCGTGATCGTGATTCTACGAGGGGTGACCAAGCATGGTATTTGCAGATTGTCCAGCTTATTATTCAGCCTTCTGCCATATTTTCAGAATTAACTTAGTTGTTTGTTGCCTACAGTTGACATCATGCTTCAAGGTGGAATCGACAGGCTATCCCTTCAGCTCTCTGACATCCCGCCCGATGCTAGGCAGAGCACAACAGCCGCCATACACAAGGAAGGGTGTGCGCCCTGAACTAATCTCGGCGCAGCACACCCGAGGATTCTAGAATGACATTCGACAAGGCTAACTCGGCCAAATGCGATCTACAAGGTATCTAGACTACCTAAAACCGGGCACATCATCTCTCTATCTACGTATCTGATCTGATCAACTGCCCAGTGGTGCCCCATAGCCCCGAGGCCCGGATCGTTGCAAGTTTCAACCCGCCAAGGGTCCAAGAGAAGCGAAACCCAGTAAAACTGTCTGGAACCAAAGACGAGTGATCCACTCAGAGACCAGATTCAATCCGGATCCCTCCACTGCTCGTACGTGTTCGCAACACTAGGCGGACGGAATTCTACACTAATAGTGTAATAATGTGTCTGCCTGCTAATGCCGGTCGTTTTTGGACCCCAATTAGGAACAAACCTACTTACTTGGGTAAGTTGTACGTAGAGTATCCGGCAAACACGGAGATGTGCTATTCCGATGATCCGGCATTTCCAGGGAAGGGATTATGGGGGCTTATTTCGGTAAAAAGTCCAGCAGATGGTTGCGATGTTGAGTCTGCCCAATAGGGTGGTGACTAGATGGTATTGGTACTATACAGTATCGGCATCGCGGCATCAGTACGTAGTAAGTACTATTTATGGATTCGCACAGCCATACCTAAGTAAATGTGCGCACGCAGTTGACTATTTTATGCAATATGCGACAATGGTTGCTAAGCCACTGGGCGGCTGTGTGAGAGAGCCACATGTGAGCTCGGTATGATGTGTAATATTATACCATGGTAACGTCACCGATGTACCCGCGCTAACTCCGAGGCCGAAAATTCCAGTCGCGGCTAGCTCTGGCGCTTACTATGACTAGGGGGTGAAGGGAAAGTAAGGGGCCGGATGTGTAATGCGCTGCGTATCGAAGTAATTGCATAATGACAGGCATGATTGATCTATTGGAAACTTGTTGAAATTTGCCACTGTCAGGCAAAGCAGCAGAAAAAAGAAAAGTACCTGATCCCCCAGGTTGGCGGGGAGCAATTCCGAAAGGAAGACCAGATCAACACCCGCCCTGCGCCCAAGATGAACACATGGCACAGCCACCCCGCGCTGCATGGTGGCGGGGGATCTAGTGATTCCGTACGGCATCAGCCTCAACGAACAGCCACAATGGAAGTCGTAATCTCACTTCAAACCGGGTTAATTTCTGACCGGGGGCTGTGACTGAACGGCGTAATTACTTGTTCCCGTGTTTTCTCAGCTGGCGCTGGGCTCTTGGCGTAGCGGGGACATCATTGAATCTTGGTGGGGCTCACCTTCTGGGCGAGTCAGCACTGCGCCTGCTCAGCCCTGCAGTGCCAGATCACCTTATCCAGTGGCCAAATATCCCACTATAAAAGGCCTGGGAACCCCTCGTTCTGTCTTACCTTCGGTTCATCTTACCAACACTCCACTTCCTTCCTCTATCAACCTTACCAATCTATCAATCAACTACCTCTACAACCCCAATCCTCATCATAACCATGTCTGGCTACGACGGATACAACAACCAGGGCTACTACGGCCAGCAGGGTGGTTACGGCCAGGGCGGCTACGGCCAAGGTGGATACGGCCAGCAGCAAGGATACCCCCCGCAGCAAGGATATGGCCAGCAGGGTGGCTATGATCAGTACAGCCAGCACCAACACCAGCAGCACGGCGGCCAGGGTGGTGCCTCCAGCGACTACTACGGCGGTGGTGGACAGCCCCAGTATGGTGAGGGCCAGTACGGCCAGCAGCACCAGGGTGGTCAGCAGTACGGCCAGGACCAGCGTGGCGAGTATGTTATACACTATAGTACCTTGATACTCATGAGCTCTAGCTAACATTTCTTGTCTCTAGATACAACCAGGGTGCCCCCGGCGGAGCCCAGGAGGGTGAGCGTGGCCTCGGTGGTGCCATTGCCGGTGGTCTTGCGGGCGGATTTGCCGGTCACAAGGCCGATCACGGAATCCTCGGAACCATCGGTGGAGCTATCATGGGAAGCATCGCCGAGGATGCCATCAAGAAGCACAAGCACAAGGATGAGCAGCAGCAGGACTACCAGAGCAGCTATGGTGGTTACCCCCCTCAGGGTGGCCAGTCCCACCACGGCGGCGGTGGCATGATGGACCAGCTCGGCGGCTTCTTCAAGCGATAGACGGTTCTCCTTCTCTCCTAAACCGATTGCTTTCTTCCTGCTTATTCTTACGAATTTCCTTGCGACTACCGTGAATGACTGAAATTTCGACTTTTGCTTCGTTCGGCCGGCCGGGTTTTGGATGAAGAATTATTGAATCGCTTTTTCTACATTTTCTTCTCATTGCTATTACTGAGATCGCTTTGCTTGTTACACATACCCGGCGCGGATGAAATTCTTAATCTTGATACCAACGCTGTATTCCAGTCTACATAGCTCTTCTGTGGTTACGTTACGAAGAATCATACAGTCTTTGGCCTCATTTACTTTTGGCTCCTGAGCAGTCATTTTGCCAGTTGTAGAATCATAAATTCCCAGGTAGCTCCTTTCTTGGAGAGAAAATCGCCCTCCCACCACCCACCACTTGACCGATCTTCACGCATTTGAGTTTCGCCCCATGATGTTAACAGGATGAGGGGCTTCAGGTTGGTGGCGGGGTGGAAAAGTCTCGACGACCCGACCCCACCCTTTGCTTTTCTGTCTGTTCTCATGCCGGAAAATAAGTCGAATCATTCTGAAGGTGATCAGCGAAAGCCAGCTCATCATCAACCAGTAATGTCTGCTGTAACTTCTGATACTACTAACAGCAGGAGTTTTGGCCCCCTCACAAAGATACCTCCAAAGGATACTAGTAGTATTGCCGGTTTAGTATCCGACAAGAAACAAGAAACCCGCACATTCCACGGAAATAAAAAAAAAATGCCTCTTTGCATTTCTTCTCCCCAACTATCTAACCCCACGTCACGCGATCTAGAGGGATAAAGAAACAGATCGATGTAACCTCCTCGTCTTGTCTACAATACGATGGTAAACATCCCAAGATGAGAAAAAGCACACTTACCCAAAGCGAATAGTGCGAAACTTCTGCGGCCCAACATGCCCCGGCTTACTTATTCCCTCTAACCCAAAATTCCCACCTTGACATCTCGGTTACCTTAAACAGATAGATAGATAGACAGACAGTCCATCAATGATCGTGGCTGAGACCGAGCGGTTAAAGGGTCGGACGGATCACCCACACACTCCAAGTTGACTTTTGACATATGACCTGACAAATAACATGGACCAAGGATCATTGGTGAGTACGCGTGTCGCTTCATAGGCAATTGTTTGCCTCGTTTTGGGGCGGAGCATGTTCGGTTTTATGTATATGATCGTCGCTTTCTCTCTGTGTATCGATATGCTGGTTATGTATTTTTACCAACCTACCCTACTTTGTACTTGCAGATTGGCATCTGGGCGGTTGGCTAACTGTGCTGTGTTCTGCATGATGGTCTAGGGGATGTAGTGGTCGATTGGTGGAATTAAGTGACATCCTGCGTACTCTTTCCGGGAGATGTCGGAGGAGTGTCAGTACGGTTTGTTATTGGGCTGTTGTGTTTGGTCTCTGCTGGTGAGTGATGGTTTGGCGGTCTGGGCGATATGCGAGTGTTACTGTTGGTTCGTTTGACGTTGTCTCTCGTTGCTAGGAACTGGTAGGTAAGTCATATTTGTGTTTGGCGGTTCTCTGGAACAGAAAAATCAACGTTCAGGTGGTGTGCTTCAATTACGAAGTAAGCAAGTAGTAGTAATCTGAGATCAAGTTGATTTCCCCGACATCTAAAACTGATTCCGTAAACGGCTTAGCGTATTATTACCCGCCTCAGGCGCCTGTTGTTGCCAAGCCCGACATCAAAAGTTCGAGCGGAAGATTCCCTTGAACCAGCTGCGATAGACCAGAACTCCGGCCAACACAAGACAGTATGATTGTTCGGCAACTTGTGCGGCAAAGTGAGTTTATTCTATGGATTGGAATAATTGATAGGGAATATTGGTGCTGATTCCACCGTCTTCATTCAGGCCGCCAGCTTCGGGCTCTTCCCCGTCAGTCGCGCATCTTGTCCCGATTCTCTTCCACCGAGACGACTGGCCAGACCCCAGTACAGACTATCGTTGCGGAGCAAGCACCTCAACTAGAGACGCCTGCACCGGCTGTTGCCGTGCCGGAGCCTGGTACGTCTGGTGCACAAGAGAATTTGGATCCGAACACGCTCCGCAGTAAGTACCGCAACATCATGGCCGTGAGACCTGCCGCTGCCTGAAGGGAAAGCTAACATACCGTCTTCTTTTCAGGGATCAAATTCCACAGTCTCGGTAGCGATGTGACCGGCGTCTACCGGCCAGAGAGCCTCCTTAAGAACCCTCCCAAAGCCACCGACGTTACCCTCGAAATGCTCCTCGCCAACCAGACACACCTTGGACACTCGACTTCCCGCTGGAACCCCCAGAACTCGCGCTATATCTTCGGTATCAGGGAGGGGACTCACATCATCTCTCTTGACATCACGGCGGCTTACCTCCGACGTGCGGCCAAGATTGTGGAGGAAGTTGCCTACCGGGGTGGATTGGTTCTCTTTGCGGGCACGCGAAAGGGTCAGAAGCGTGCGGTGGTCAGAGCCGCGGAACTGGCTCAGGGATATCACATTTTCGAGCGTTGGATCCCTGGTAGCTTGACCAATGGCCAGCAGATCTTGGGCCATTGCGAAAAGAAGATCGTGAACGGCTTCGATGAGACGATTGAGGACCTCTGGAAAGAGGAATTGGAAGGTTACCGTGCACTTAAGCCCGACCTTGTTGTTTGCTTGAACCCCGTCGAGAACGTTGTCCTGTTGCACGAGTGTGGTCTCAACAACGTCCCGACTATCGGTATCATCGACACTGACGCCGACCCGACCCGTGTCACATACCCCATCCCTGCCAACGACGACAGTTTGCGTTCCGTGACTCTGATTGCTGGTGTGCTGGGACGGGCAGGAGAAGCGGGTCAGCAGAGAAGATTGGCGCAAGCGCGTAAGGGTGAGTGGACGTATAAACTCATGCAACCACTCCGTCAGCAAGTAGAGGAGACGACTCTGGAGACCGCGGAAGGACAGACGCCTGAAGCCTCTCAGGATCTTGTGTCTGAGGAAGTTCCTTCTGAGGGAAGCCCGCTCGACAAGCCTAAGGAAGGGGCTTCCAAGGATGACGAATAGAGTCGAAGTGTTGACTATTGCTCTTATTGATATCTGTCTGTCTACATCTGAACTTTCGGCTGGGATTGTATTGTATAGGACATTGTAAATTTTCCTTTTCTCTGGTGTTATATCATGTATCAACAATGCTATTTGAATTGATCTTCTGGTCTAGTCTCATGGATTAGGATAGTCTTGTCCATTTGTTCCCCTTAACTGTTTGCGCAGTTCATGGCCGACCACGCCTTACGCCTTGGTTGATTGCGTTCCAGTCAGCCTCATCGTCCTATGGGTACTTACTAATAGGTATCATTATAACTAGAAGTTATTTATGTGTGTCACAACAAACAGTTGATTCAAAACACGATCTCTTCTATACTATCTAACGCCACCGACATCTATCATCATGCATCAATCATTCTGTTCCAAGCAAACAATTTCCACCACGTGTTGCCAAAAGCTTCAACGAGCTTTCTAAACCAACCACAACATCCCCTATCTAGTTCTTCAAGGTATAAACCACGCGTCCCCGAGAGTCCTTACCCTTATACTCCACAGTCTTTCCAATATCCGACACAACGCGTCTCTCATCGCCATTATGAAGGACGATATCAAGATCCTTCCAGGCAGGAACAAATCCAGACTTCTCATCACGAGAGAATCCAACAATAACCTTCTCCTCCGTGGAACTATACGTAATAGTATACTCCGAGATGCGCGCCTCAAGCGAGATACCATCATCTTCAAACCAAGTAGTGCTGAACACCTGGCCGTGAGAACTGCCACGGGGCGGGAAGATTTCGACTCCACGGTAGTCATCAATCTCTTTCACAGCCACAGAAGCCGGAGTGTCATCACCAGGAACCCTGGTATGAACTGGCTTTCCGACAGGGATAGCTCCGCCGATTCTGGCCAGAAGGGGAATACTCTTCCTCCATTCGGAGGGCACTTCCACCCATTGTCCGGAGGCGAGATAGTTATAAGGCTCGTTCATGTTCACGTATCCGAAGTCGAACTTGTCATTAGCCTTACGGGGGAGGTATAACTTGGCAACGCTGACGCCGGGCTCGTAGACACCGCCGACCATGATGGTGTCACCGAACCAGAACTGCTCGTCGCCCGATTTCAGGGCCTTGGTCCATACCTCTGGGTCCGATTCATAGCCCCATCCTACCCAGCGCTGTGGCGGGGACGCGGTCAGATGGCTTTCAAGACCAAGGGAGTAGATGTAAGGGAGGATCTCGTAGCGACGCTTGATTGTATCGCGGACGAGAGGGGTGATCTCGGGGTACATCCATGGCTCGATGACGTCTCCGACGGAGCTGTTTCCAGGAGAGGTCTTGAAGCAGTTGATGGCGAACCGAGGCGAGTGGATACCCAGTTGGATCCACCTGAGCAGCAGCTCAGGAGAGGGCTGAGGTCCTTCGAATCCTCCGATATCGTGACCGCAGCACTGCAGAAGAGAGATACCTGCGCTGAGGGACAGAGCGTTCGCTCCCTTCATGCCCTCCCAGCTGGTCACGTTGTCTCCGCTCCAGGTGCTGGCAGCGTAGCGCATTGTACCTGCCGTGGCACTGCGAGTCAGGACGAATGGTCTGTGATTGGGCTCAATGTTGAGAAGAGCATCATGGGAGGCTTTGCCCATGAGTTCGGTGTGCATGGCGCGACCCCACTGTCCGACGGAGTTCTCGACGCCCTTCTTGACGGCCTCGGAGACGGTTGGCTCGTCCAATGCTAACTTCCAATCGTCGTCTGGGAGCGTGTACTCGTTGTTGTCGTTCCACATGGCGTCGATTCCCGCGCGCTTCAGGCTCTGCACGCCGTCATACCACCATTTGAACGCAACAGCGGATGAAAAGTCGATGTGACATCCGTCACCTCCTGTTGCGCCTCCGGCACTCCACAGTCGCATGTAGCCCGGCTTGTTGCTCGCAGGGTCCTTGAAGAACCCGTTCGAATCAATGAGCTTCTGGAAGTCGGGGTGTGAGGCGAGCAGGAAGGGTTTAATGTTGGAGAGAAGGCGGATACCCCGACCATGGTATTTGGCAATCCACTCTTCGGGATTGGGGAAGCGATGTTTGTTCCATGTGAAGACATTGCGGACCTTAGGCTCGGTTTCGGCGATCGAGTATCCAGAGCTCATTTGGTGTGCGGAGCAGGGAATGCCGTGCTCCTCCAGCTTGTCTGCGAACTCCATCAATGCCTCGTGAGCAGGCGGGTCGTCAAGCATGGTGTACTTGTATCCGCCTGAGATGTAGCCATATGCCCATCTGGGGACGAGGATCGGAAGACCG